GGTGCGATAGAGCACGCCTTCACCCACAACCATGGGGAACAACCCGGGAGGAGGCATCACACTGGAAGAGGAAATACTCGCTGTGGTGGTACGAAACAACAACAAGTTGAGTTGCATCTTTTATCAATTTGGTGCCAGAAGTGGGGAAAGAAGAGCGCTAGGAGGAGGGAGGCCCTCCTCGATGCTGCCCCGCGGAGGCGCTGTACGGAGCCGCTTGATGGGTCGCTCTCCTCTGTGTGCCTACACAGGCAGGAAAGGAGAGACCATCAGACCATCATCACTTCGTCGTTGGATCGGATCTCCCCTTTTCTTGTTTGCTTTTGGTGGAGTGGATGATTGACAAGAAGGACAAACTACACGTGAGATTTATCTTCCATCAGAGTGCATGTGAATTTGGCCACTGTACTTCGGAATGGATAGACAATGGACAGTAGATCACACAAGGGGATTAATAGCCAAGGAAACTACCGGAGAACGAAGAGACGGAGAAGGGAATTAATAGCTGAGCAAACTGCCGGAGAATTAAGAGACGGAGAAGGAACAGACAGAAATATTAATCTAGTGGGGAGATGAAAAGAATAGGCCTTATTATGGTTAGAAAACTTGGTCTTCATTATCGATCAATTCACACCCGAGGAGGTGCTGTACGTGGGGAATGCATGAGTGTGACGTGGTTCATTGCTGATGTGTATATGTTGCATGTCAATATAGGATGATGTGACACATTGCTGATGTGGATAGTGTGCATGGTGAGAGAATAGGGAGTAGTGGGGAGCAACTTCTTAAGAATGTTAGATAAGTTAAGCTATCAGTACAGATGAAATCTTCACCACAAAGGAAACCCATATGAATGACCACTTGCATAATTTAGCAAAATTGAACATCATGTCTACTGATGTTTTTGCAGAATGGACTTTGTGTTTCTTATGTACTTCAATAGTTAAAGGTTTTGAAAATTGCCACTGTCACATTCTCTATACTTGAACTCTTGTTAGACTAGGCATCTCCATTTCATAGAGAACACCATAAAATTGCACTCATTTTGTCAATATGGCAGGAAATTTAACATACTAGGAGCAGTAACATCACATGAGATAGAGTAATAGAAAGAGAGAGAGCACATGATAGCAGTAGCCTGTGCATGTTTATGGGGGGACTCTTGTCCATGAGAAGCACTGACGGCATGAGACGAAGGCCTGTCGGAGGCCAATCTAACTCGAGGACACAAGCCCGACTGTTTGAAGGACGACGCGCTGCAGTTCAAGTTAGCACCGGAGGAGCAGCTGGTGGAGAATCTCGAAGACGTCGCCGCATCTCCACAACGATGGTGCAGTCGGAGGTGCGCCGTCCAGGGCGCCGTGCCACGGCGAGGAAATGGGGACAGTCGGCGGTGGTAGTGGGGGTAGATGGGGCTCTCGGTGGCGCGCTGGGGGAGGGCGCAGTGGTGTCGCCCTCAGAGATAGAGCAGTCGGCTATGCGCCAGGGGAGGGGTCAACCGATGGCACGCTGGGGCATAGCAGACGGTCGAATTGGGCATATTGGGTGCAGCACATGTACCTCGGGAATGGAAGGGAAGTCGGGAGCAGGGGTGAATGGCTGAGGGTGGCAGTGGTGAATTGCCTGGGGTAGTGGCGGTGAACGGTCTATGCTGGATGTTGTCCTCCTCGGGGTAGAGGGGGCTAGGGAGGAGGCCAACCTGTAAACATGGGAAGGCGACGATGTGGTAGCACCACTGCGTCCACAACGCCGTTGAGGTGAGCAGCGAGCCATGGAGCGATGAAATGAGGCGCGCCACCATCGACAGTGCACGGCGGCCGGGGGGTGGGAGGCGCGTGACGACTGGGAGGTGGGAGGCGCGCGGCGGCTGGGGGAGGGAGGTGCGCGATGGGCGAGGGGTAGAAGGCATGCGGCGGCTGGGAGGTGGGAGGTGGGAGGCGGGTCGTGCGGGTGGGGAGGGTTTGGTCCGGGCGGGGACGACGATGGACGAAAGGTGGAAGGTGGGCGTACCTGTTCGATCGCTCATATAGAGGCGAGAGTTTCTAGTATCTGTCCTCCCCGGGCAGTTCATATATATATATATATATATATACACTACTATCAGGTGTAGTTACACCCATTTTTTATATACTAGCATGTGATAGTATATACTCTACTTTATTATTTTTAGTATGTTCATATACTATATCTAAGATACTCCAAAGTGAGCTTTATATAAAAAATAGCAAGTGAGCTCATAATTTTATTGTATTTGTGAAATATGTACATATTTATACGTAAAATGGAGTATGCATAAAATATGATACATACTATCAAAAAAGTAGTCCCTTTATCTCACAATATAAGAGCGTTTTGCAAGCTATGTTAGCTTGCAAAATGCTCTTATATTGTGGAACGGAGGGAGTAATATATCTACTACCTAAAATTTTTATATACTACATACTACACGTACATACTCTCTGATATGATAGATACTACCTGAAACGTACGGAACAAAAGTGGAAGTAACCACACCCAGTAGTAGGTAAAGATAAAAATAAGAATTAGATAAAAATAAAGATAGATATTATAAGACAGAGGAAGTAAAAGGCATCGTGGCTGAAGGATTTGAGAAGATTGGATGGGTTTCGGAGACGGAACCGACCCATGATTTTCCACTTTCGTGATAAAAACCAAACACACCGCTACACCGGGCAGCCGAATACAAGGGGATTCGAGGAGATACGCAACGAAGGACGAAAACGCTTCCCAGCAGCTTGTTGAGGGGATTTACAGGCGGACATCGTCGAAAAAAGCCTCGGCATCTTCGATCTCCCAGACGTCGTGGAGGTGTGGTAGAGGCGTCAACCGTCCGCCCCGGAACCCTCCCTCGCGTCAAATCCCTTCCAGCCCGGACACCTCCAGCCGGCCGCCCTAGTCTTTTTGAGAAAGAGAGCGAATTTTGTACTAGTTGCTCCTGCTGGTTGGGTTCTGCTGTGATAATTTTATATACAGACAGCATTCCTTGATGAAGTGCTATTTGCTGCTGGTGGTTGCTATTTGCTGCTAGTTAATTCCATACTAAGAGAGCATTGCTTGTTGATCGTGTTGTGATATACATAGAGTTGCTGCTAGTTAATTTTTCAGTGCTGCTACTTATTTGATTGCCGCTGCTTGCTACTTATTTGCTGGCAGATGGATGGAGATGAAAGTTTTGAGGAGATGCAAGTGTTGGATATGCTCATGAATTCGCCGTTGTCTTCATCTGGCGACGACGAACTCATTCTTGCAGCATCCTCGGAGCATGAGGAGGAAGAGAAGGTGAATAATCGACGCCATGGCGATTCCAAAATCGGGTGTCAGACAGTGGATTGCGGAAGAGGTGCTGGATTTCTGTGGGATGACTACTTCAAGCAAAAGCCTATCTTTCCTGAAAAATATTTTCCCCAAAGGTAGGTAATTAGCACATTGTTCTTTGTTTGCCTATTTTCCATCTCCCTATCTCATTTATGTTTCTCCACGCAGGTTTAGAATGTCCTGGAGTTTATTTTATCGCATAGGTGAAGCTATAGTTGAGCATGATCATGATAGTTATTTTAAGCAAAAAGGAAATGCTAGTGGTACTCCTGGTTCGCAGCCTCTTCAGAAGATGATCGTGGCAATGCGGCTGCTAACTGATGGATATGCAGCTGATGCTGCGGATGAGTACGGCCGGTCTGCAAAAACTATTGATGTAAAAGCTTGCAAAAAGTTTGTGATAGCTATTTGTCAAATCTTTGGGGATGAGTCCTTGAGATCTCCAAATGAAGAAGATAGTGCAGGATTACTTGCAATCTGGCAACCTGTACGGCTGTCAAAAGCAAAACCAACGACTTTCCAGTACCCTCCATTTTTTGGGGATTTCTTGTGCTTCAGAGTCCCCATCTCTGTCACAGGTTTGTCTTTGAGATCTGACCCAATCCGTGATTTCTGCCTCTCCCTTCTGTATTCTCTCAGCCCCTTTTATTTAGGAAGGAGCATGGGAGGGACTCATGAATACTCTATTGGTTTTGTCCATTCCTCGGTTGGTGATGAGCTACCCCAAGATGCCATCTGTAAGTCGACCTCAATCTTGTGCTCGACCATTTAGCCATTTACTCCCTCCGTTCGGAATTACTTGTCACAGAAATGGATGTATCTAGACGTATTTTAGTTCTAGATACATTCATATCCGAGACAAGTAATTCCGAACGGAGGGAGTAGCATAGAAAGATGCAATTTTTAAGCCGGGCCATGGGAGTGTGTGGTCATTGCGGGGAGCAGAGTTCAGATTTGTTAGATTTTAGTGACATGACTATTCTTTCACTATTTGTTTGGCTTAAAGATTTCATTTTTCTTCTTAAAGATTTCATTCTTCTTAAGGATTGCATAAAAGATGAAGTTTTGTTTCCTTGCTTTGCACAGTATGTTGGCATCACACCGGCTGCTTCTTTGTGAGTAGATATTTGTTTCTTTGCGCGCAATTTTCTTGGCCGAGTCACATAACTTTCCACTTGGTTTTCCAGTTTTATTTATATAATTTCTTTCGTCACAAAAGATTCATTGTCCTAGTCCGACCAATATATGTGTTGGATCTTTGTTTGTTTTGCTATATGTACATGACCTGCAGACCAGCACATAATATGAGGTATTTTTATTTACAATGGCAGGCTCTTATGCAAGGTCCAGTTGGTCGGACCTTCCCACGGATCTCCTCCTCAGAATCCTCCAACGCCTCCAGCTCCAGGAATGCCTTGCTTTTGTGTTAGTCTGCACATCATGGAGCTGGGCTGCGGCTGCTGCTGGCGTCCCATGTTCTTGTAGACCGTGGCTCATGTCTTGGACCCACCTCGTTGAGGAGAGTCAACCCAAGATCAACTCGAGCTCGACTATGACCTGCAAGTTCCGCCATCTGCTGGACGTCAACAAGTCTTATGATGTTGATTTTCCCAAGGGTTGTTTTGTTGCATGTGCTGGAGCTTCTCATGGATGGCTGGTTCTGGTAAATGAACTCTCCAATCTACCCCTTTACCTCGGACATGGTCTCTTTACCACCAATTACCGATTTCTCATTCGTGGAGGCAATATGTGATAATCAAGGAAACATAGAAGGTTATTGTCTTTTTAACGATGAATTCTATGATGCAAAAGATCTGGCAACATGGTTCTTCCAGAAGGCAGTTTTGTCCTGTACTCCATCCAAAGGGGGCAACTACATTGTCATGATCATTCATTATGATAGCAATTGGCTCTCTTTTGTTAGGGCAGGAGAGGGCAAGTGGCAAGTGGTCTCAACTTCAGCTAGAAGGGTACAAAATCGGTATGCAGACTGTGCATACCACAATGGGAGTTTTTACACTGTGACATGCCATGGAATAGTAGAGAAATATTATCTTGATGGACCGAATGGACCAACAAAGGAGGCAATTATTGCACATAGTACCTATTCAAGTGTTCTTACTAGGAACTTGGTGTCTACACCATGGGGTGATCTCTTGCAAGTCCGGGCCATTTCTGCAAATCGTGTGGATCGTGTGAGATTTCAAATTGCCAAGGTTCATCCTGAAGGATGCAAGAAGGTATCACCGGACGACTTGGTAGAGCATGCAATATTCGTTGGACTGAATCACTCGACATGTTTACCCTCGAAGAATTTCCCAGGTTTAAGACCTCAATGTATCTATTTCTCATCTCCTTGGATGACAGCGACATTTGATTTGGTTGCCCGTTGTCGTGGATGGGGAGGTGTAAGGTCATATGACATAGAAAGAAGAGTCTTTGAGCATGCTTTTCCCTTCGTAGGGATGCCTAAAAGTTGGAGAATGCATGTTCCTTCAGAGATATGGATCACAACGAATATATAATACTTGGGGCCAGTGTGTCTTCGGAAGCTCGTATGTGTCATAAATAAATGCGAATTGCTAAGATTTAGTACACTAAAGATTTACTTAATCCTCTGGGCGCTCCTGGTGCATAGTTTCTTATCGTTGTTTATTAATGCAAGATAGATTTATGGATATAGCTTTCTCAATTAATGATGGTGTAAGTGTTTTATCTGAATGGTTTTTCATTTACGGTACTAAGTTTCGGGATGCATACTAGCATTGTGACGTTGTTACCTGTTTGTGACGTGTACTAACCTGATATATGTTTTGTTAACGTGCGTGAAGATGAATACGCGCACGTGGAATTGGGTGACACTTGTGCACATAATTGAACGGCCGTAAATTTTTTTTTGAGGAAGCATGCTTTCATTCAAGTCGCAAAATAGTACAAAGTTCTTGATATGTACAAGCACACCCTAAAACACGCACAGAAAACTAGAATAACAAAGAGCAACCTAAAACAACCAGTAAAACACGAAGATCTTCGAAGGTAAACCTTGCGAGAAGACCCATGCAACACAAACATCTATAGTTAGATTTAAGCAGGTCATCATCTTCAACCATGGTATAATCACCATTATGCTGCTCCCCCTTTTCTTCGCTTCCGCGCCGAAAAGACGAGAACATACATATGCATCTAACACACCTGCATCAACCTTCGCCATATCTGGTTTTGAGTACCGATGTATGTGTCCCTTCCATATGGAAGAGAAATAGGATCTGGTTCCGGTGCCACGGTCGGACCAACTGCCCGGCAAAGTAGGATATCCCTCCAGCAGTAGCACAAAGGAGGAAGAAATGCAGCATGAAACCATACCGACGCTGAGGTAGAAGAATCTCTGTCTCCACACAACCACCACCCATCTGAGGACCAACCTGGCCAGTGCCGGTTGACCTCTAGACATCATAGCCCGCGATCTCGACGAGATCCGGGGACCCCCACCCCGCTGGCTCCTAGACGAAGGCAAGAGTCCTGCCTGACCGCGAACGGGGCCGAAGAAAACTTACTCAGTCGCGACGCCCCGCGACGGTCTGGGCAGCGACTCCCTCAACCCTAACCCTACTGAGAACCAATCAAGGCACAAATCCGAGGTCCCCTCCCTCCTGCCACTGGAGCGGGTGACGGAGGGAGGGGGAACCAGCAGCGGCGCCGGTGGCTCGCAAAGGGCACCTGCTGTCGCCTACTTTCTGCCTCGCTACGATCCGATATTTTTGGAGGCAGTTCTCTCGTTCCTGCTTACCGCACCATGAACAACCATACATACTATATCC